GGCCAGATGACTGGGCAGGCTCACAAGGGGTCTAAGCACAAGATGTCGAGAGAGCAGGATCGAAGTATTAGGCCAGGGTGAGCGTGGTCGTCAAGCTCGAGGAGGCGGAAATATGGCTGGGACGCCATGACGCAACGTTAGGTGCGTCGCAGTCGCTTTTACTGGGACTGTACCACAATTAACTAACTTACACATAGCATCTGGTCGTCTAGAGCACGAAGATGCAGGTAGTAGGAGATGCTGACTTTCTCGTGAAGACGTTTGGCCAAGCGGATCTTGACTTCGCCCTCGCGCACGATGAAAAGCTTCGCAGATTGATCATCGTCGAGTCGGGTAGCCTCGGTCGCAGGCGAAGATTGCAAATTCTTTGGGAGCGAACACCACCCCATGTCCTGGTCTCGTTCTACCGGCGCGGGCTGTCGCTTTGAGCTGCTACAGGCGCGCACCAAGACACCACAAGCCGAGGTCTCAAGACGCTCCTGTTTTCTCTTTCTCAGCACACGGTCTTGTAGCTGGTGAGTCTGCCAAGACTACGACGTCCCGAATACGAGGCACTTACCATCGAAACCACGCAGGTTTGGTTCGTTTGCGAATCGAGCGATAGGGCAGCGTAAACTGTACCGCATCTCGGTGTAACGAACCGAGTACATGACCATGTCGTCCAGCGGATTTGTAACTATTCAGAATCCCCCATGATCACGTACGCTTATCTTCCCAGAATCCACGACTATCCACCCGCCACCGCCTGTCCTCAGCGTGCACGACGGATTACCAGCTGGCATGTACTTGAGTAGAACTCATACCTCCCGCAGGCGTCGTGCACTAAGATGCCGCGGTCTTTGATTCGATCAGAGAGGTCAACGTAGCGGGGTATCCTTAGCATCGAGGAAGACATGAACGCACCGGCGGGAGGTATAGCTGGGAAATTTTGGACGGTAGCGAAGCTGGCGTGCAATTGTGCGTAGCTGCTCTTTCTCACGCAGAACCGTCCTGACTGCCTTGAAGGATCCTTGCCCTCGTCTTGCAAGAAGCGCTCTTTGAATCTCTCGAAACCGTGACGGAGTGTACCTGAAATCCTCATTTGCGAGCCTGCTCACGAGTCCCAGAGCCGTAAAAATACATTGACAGGGAGCATGCGAAGGAACAAACTCGGCGTGTGCGCTCCTGGACCACGGGCAGACCTCGACAAATTCCTCTCGATCTCTCTCGAAGTAAACAGTCCGAGCGCAGCAACCACTCGAATTGTTCGGCGACGTCGAGGGTGATTGTGGTCCCGTCGACGGCGAGCTCCATCGGTACGAACAACACGTCCGCACTCGTGATGAGGTCCGAGTGGAAGTTCGTGAACTGCAGTTTGCCGGACTCGAGCACCCACGTGAGCTGCGTGTGGCGCAGCACAGAGCATAGGATCCTCCTCGGGACCGCAAAGTCTTGGCTGCGCAGAGGCATACGGTGGATGCGAGGGCAGCGCACGCGCGAGGAATCGACAACGGCTCGCAAGGCGTCCCAGGGAAGGGTGTCCACGGTTCTGACGTCCGTGAACGACAGTCCGAGTCCGACTTCTTCGACGTGCGCGAGTCTGAACCTCGCACCCTGGCCCGCGCCCGGTCTGCAAACCTTGACCCCAACACTGACATCATCTCCCACAGACTCTCCTGGGACAGGTGTGCAGCAACGGGCTTCTACCATGTCTGACGAAAGAGTGAGTCTTGTGGCATGGCTTGCACCGGTTAGAAGACGTACCGAACATACTGCCGTTTTGGTGATCAGGCTCAACAATCGCCCCTTTGAAAGTGAGACCCAACGGCCGACCATTGGCGCAAGGTCAAGGTCACCCGCGCGACTCACAACGATACACTCGAATAGTGTTTCTCGAAGTCGGGCTGACATCCCATGGACGTGGTGAAGCCATAATTTCGTCTCCGTAGTTTATTGATTGATCTTTATACGCCAGATGGGCCCAGACAGAGACGAGGTCGTGAACCGCGGGCTGCTAAAAATGATCTTCAGGAAGTTTGCGGGGTGCAAGAGAGTGGTGTAGACGGGTGGGCGATGCACGATGCACTTAGGCGCGAAGCCGCAGCCATCTGGCGGCTCATGTGTACAAGATTCAGAAAGACAAAATCTTGCAGAGGTGTCCCGCGCGTGGCAGTCACGCTTCCCAAGTGTCCAGTGCAAAGCATAACAGCCTCGCGGGCGGCGGTATTCCGGTACCTCACACTACGGGCATGAGCTGATTTCAAATCACCTGAAATGTCCAGGTCAAGCCATCAGAACTGTATCATTTTCGGAGACTTGACCGTGGCTTTCCGGCGCCCCAAAATGATAAATTTGCTACCACTTTTGTAGCCATTTGCGGTGCAAGGAAAATGATAAATTTTGTGTAGCCTGAAATGAACCTGAAATGACTAGTGATGTGCGGGCCGGGCCTCAAAGCCTGCAAGCCCGCCAAGCCCGGCCCAAAAAGCCTGGCCCGAGTCAAGCCTGGCAGCGGGCTCAAGGCCGGGCTCGGAGCACAGTCAAGCCCAATCCTGGCCCGGAAGCCCAGGCTTGGGTGTGCTGGCTCCGTTACTGTTCCCTGAGTTCAGAATAAGGAGAGAGCGACCTAATATGTACATAGAAGACAAAATGTAGATATTCTAGATGTAACGGCTCTCGCCGAGCACGATTGTGCGTCACCATCTGGTGCCTGCTGACAGTGCATGCTTGTGGACTTTGCTGCAACTCGACTTGTTCCGCAGGTGTAAATCTTCTGGAGGTTATAATTTAGTGAGTACATGCAGTATTAATCTACTACACCCAAATACATTCCCTTTTGATAGCACCGGAACACTCGTTGTATTGTGAGCAAGCCCGGGCTTAAGCCCAAGGCTTGGGCCGGGCTCGGGCTCGGCTCGGGCTCAGGGCTTGGCTTGATGTCGCCACAAGCCCAAGCCTGGGCTTTGAGCCCAAGCCGGGCCCGCACATCACTAGAAATGACTGAATATGGTTACATTTCAGTACGACAAAGAGTTGATGTTTCAGGAGACTTTGTGGCGCATTTCAGGACATCTGAAAGAACATATGGAGAGATCATTTCTGCCTCATGTTTGCGATGAGGAAAGGTCCGGGCAAGGAAAGCTTTTGATGGTCCTGAAATTATCATTTACAGCAAATTTATAGTACATTTCTGGGACATTTCTGTCTTATCTCAAGTAAAAACCTTCTAGCTCATGAAACAGCTTCAAAAGCCATCAGAAATGGTAATTTTAGGACCATCAAAAGCTTCACTACGGGCATGGGCCGATTCAGGCCGCC